ATATAATTAGGATTAGTTTAAAAGCAAACATAAAAATATTCAATAAAAATTGTTAATTTTAATAAAAATATTAATATAACAGTTATATAAAAATTAATTTTAGTCTTAGTTAAGAGATTTACAAAAATTGGTCTTTTAAAAAAAATAACTAAATTACTTCTTTTATTTTAATTATGATACTCTTTACCCTTGTATCCTAGTGAGATCAATTTGAGTCACTTGATGGGGTAAGCCTAGGTAATAACATGTTCGTTTCAATTTGCCTTTTGTAAAATGTCTTTTTATTTCTCCTAAACGAGTGATTTGTGGGCAATAACCTATAATGGCAGACAAACCAATAATTTTTCCAACCATAACTTAATAAGAATGTCTTAGTGTGCTCCATGCAATGTGACAACTAATCTACCATGCGTGCTCCAACTGGATAACACGCCATATGTATGAAAGTCATTAATAGTCCACATCAAAGTTGTCCTTTTAAGGAAATTTTGTGTTCTTAAAACATCATATGTCAAACTATCACTTCACAACTTCTTCAAATTATCAATCAAAGGCTATAAATAAACATTAATCATTGACTTGGGATTGGATGAACATGGTATTAGACATGTTAAAAACATGTAAGGTTTTGTCATACACATCTAAGGTGGAATATTGTATGGAGTGACAATCACAGGCCAACAAGAATATGGTGATGAGGATGCCTGAATGTATGGATTAAATTCATCTGAACATAAACCAAGTCGCACATTACGAGGATCATTGACAAATGGTAAATGTTTTCGATTGAAGTGTTTCCAAACTTCCCCATCAAAATGATGACGTAACATTCATTGAGTTTTGTTACTATCATGTCATGTCATGTGTTTTGTTGTTTACATTGAAGCAAACATTATTCGTAATCTTGGAATTATCGGCAAGTAGAACATGAACTTTAATGGAATCAGTTTTTTTTTGCCTTCGATCTACATGCATTGTATGATACCGAGGTTGCCCACAAAATTTGCATTTTTGGTACTATCATTGTCATGAAAAAACATATAGTCATTCATACAACAATCAATCTTCTTGACTTCTAATCCCAACTTATAAACACATATCTTCGCTTCATAACAATTCTTTGGCAATGAATTATTTGGTGGTGCCAGATCTAAAAAGATTCTTGAAATGAAATTCAATGTTTGATTGGGAATGTTTTAATTAAATTTACAAGCCATAAGTCTAATGCATACAGACAATTTCAAATCTGATGACCCTTCAAATACAGACTCACTTGCTTTATTGTAAAACCTACGTGTGTTTTGACTAAGAACATTATTGACCATCTCTTGCATATGCATAAATTGAACCATCTTAGAGGTCTGTACAAAAGTGTTCTAACCTGACGGCTGCTAATTTTCACAAGCAGTTGAGATGGAGGAAATTTTTTCACCATAAAATGTCTAAATGTTGTAATTTGGCATGAACCCTTTTTTGTATAGGTGAACTTTGACCACTCAATCTTTCAAAAATCTTGTACATTTGCACTTAATGCATATGCATCTAATCCTTTTATTAAAAGCATAATATTTATATTGTCGAGCCGTCCGAACAAACTCTTCAACTCCTTTGACAAAAATTTTCTTCAAACCTCTGCTTCCACTATAACAATGGTCGTACATTCACTCACGGTTGTTGGAAACTTCGGTCATGTTCTGTTAGCCCATTAACTAGTTACTCCCAGTAGGATAAACTAGTTATTGTTAGCCCTAGTCTTTATAACTTTACTACAATTTATTCTTCTCAATGAAGAATTGTGTTCATAATACAAATATAATTAAATAAAAAGGGATAATACATTAATAGCATTAAAAAGCTAAGGCCTAACTTGAAAAATTTGTTGTTTAACTTGAAAACCTACTATCTACGTGTTAGGTTTAGGTACTTTAGTTAATTAAACCAATATGTTTCCTATTTCACTAGTTCTAGGCAGTTAAAAGTGACTTGTAATTATTTGTTTTTCTAGGTTATTGGTTGCTATATAACAACCAAAATCTGAAAGGTACATGTCAAAGTTTTTAAAACAAACCAACTACAAAACCTACTAACTAAATGGTAAGAACTTAAAAATGAGAATTAAAACTAAAATTTCATGTAGAAACATGAATCTAACCTGGAAATAATCATGAAAACAGATTGAAATCAAACTTGTGTCCTCATTATATATAATATATATATATATATATATATAGATATATAGTTTTGCCAAACGCATTAAACAACATATAGAAGTGGTAAAAAATTCAAGCAAATTAAATGGCCATATATTTTAAATGGACAACACATATAATTTAAATGGATATCTTAAATTCATTCAAATCTGATAGTCAACACACACAAGGTCAGAAACATCATGAGCCTCCTTACCACATACCAAAATGGTCATAAACTGTACATTTTGAACTTAAGCCACCTTTATAATCTGAACCGATTTCACACAATAATATAAGCCTAAATTGCTACCACACTGAATAATTTCATCAAAGTTAAATTTGATCTTCAAACTGCATAAACAACCCTTAAAAATTATCACTGAAATGACCATAATTACTGTTTACTTTGGCCAGACCAAACATTGCAACCCAAGGGCTAGACACTTACCCTTTGATTATCCTTTTAGTGCTACCTAAAACCTTGTTGGAAGTTGTAGGAACAAGCCAGAAAATGATCAACACTTTAAACCATGCTAATGCTACTAGAACAACTTTAGAGGCTACAAAAACACTCAAGGATTCCTCTCAAAATGGACAATGTAGGTGCCAAAATAAAGAAGGATGGAAATGAAGTCAACGACCAAACAACTCATGCACATATCCATGATGAGGACACAAACAGAAATGAGGAAAAGAAGCTACACTATATGTACAACCTCAACTGAATCTATACAATTAAATACACTTGTACATGCATGATTAAAGGAAAATTAAGGGGGAGATTTCTAGTAGGTAATTAAACACTGTAAATACGCATACTTACAAACTCTTTGTCCTTGGTTCTTATGAATAAACTATTATTGTTAAATTATGACCAAAACCAAATAACAAATGCAACACTTTCCTTGTACCATAAGCAAAGGTTTCACAAAAACTAATCTATGGACCGTTCATCCCAAAAATACGAAGACAACCACAAGGTTCGTAAGCATATGGTTCTACTTAGGAAGAAGCCGAGAGATACACATTCAAAGTGGGAACATGGATAGTCAAACAATTTTTAATCAAAATAAACATATTAAAATCATTGAACACAACCAAACATAATTTTGAAATGCAATCCAAAAAATAGGGTCACGAGATAACTCATTCGCAAAATGGAAAGAACAGAGAGGACTTACCAAATACAAAACTACGACAACCAATAAGGGAGGGGACATACTAAAGGTGGCTATGTAAAGGAGGCTCTGTTATGAATGAGGGAAAGAGGCTCTACGAATAAGGGAAGGAGACGCTCAGCTAGCTGTTGAGGAGGGCTATGCGACTGGTGTGAGGAGAACAAGGCTCTCAATGAGGGAATGAAAGACTCTATAGAGAAATGATTAATAAGAGGAAACTAAAGATGCGAGAGAGCAAAATATAATATAGAACAGAAAAAATTGGGAGGGGAGGTCTGCGAGGGGGATTGAAAGAAGAAGAGAAAGTGTGGAAACTAGGAGACTTTCAATAAATGATAAGAGGAAAACTAATTTCGCAAATTTATAATCAATTTCACGTAGGTTCTTACCGACAAACATTATCACCATTAATTAATCGATACCTATAATTAAATCGATAGAATTGTTTAATAAATTTGTCGATAATGAATAATTATTAACAAATATATTGTTGTTGTAATTTAAATCACAAATTTTATTAAAAAATCTGTTAATAATTATTAATTATCAATGAATTTACTTTCGTTGGTAAATATTAATTGATATATTCAATTATTTTTGTGGCTAAATAAAGTTAACAAACATAAAAATAATTTTAAATTTTTTCTTTTCACATAAAATTTAAAATTTTTCAACTCTTTTAAAATTTAAGAATTTCAATTTTTCTATTTCTACTCAAATAACATACTTTGTCATATAATATTTATTTTTTCTGTAAAAATAAATTATCGTATTTAAATCATATTTCCCAAACACATATTTCTTTAGCGTGATGAAAACTTATCCGATATAAAAGAATTTAAAAGTGATTAAAAAGTTATTTCGTTTTATATGTCTAAATATATATTTTTTTTCTTAGAACCAACTATATAGCGTCATCTATCACATTTAGATACCAATTGAAGTTAAATTTTGAAATAAATTATTTAAACATTATTATATTACTTACTATAAATTAATATATAATAAAATTATTTATCATGATACCATAATGCAAGATGAATAAGATTGAATAAATATATTAATAGAAAAATATACTGTAAAATTACAAATTTAAAATTTGGTTTTAGGTTGAATTTTATTTTATTTCATATTAAAATCAAACATATATAAGTTTTATGTTTGATTTAGACAAACTTTTTATTTTAAAATTAAAAAAAAGTTACATATACCTTATCCATTATCTTATTAGAAAGAAAAAGTAGAGGATAAATATTTAATATTTTTAATTCTTAATATAATTTAACTTGTAAAAGTATATGATAATGAGTTATAATTGTGTCACGTCTATCAAATATCAGGTTTTTATAGCGGATTATAGGACAATATAACTAATGTTATTTAAGTTATGATAATATATTATTTTAGCTAAAAGAAATAGTTTTTTTTTTCTTTTCTGTTTTTCTTATATATATTTTTAAATGAAACAACATTATTCACATAGTTTTTAACATAAATGAACAAAAATTATGTTTTAAATGGATTTTTAGGACTGAATTTGAAAATTAAGAGGAAAACAATGTTTTTCCTAGTTTTTCAAATATTTATATTTTATTCTATTTTTCCTCTTGTATTGTTGTAGTTTAGTGGTAGAGGGTATTTTGGGTACTAAAAAGTGTATAAACCTAATTCTGTGGTTTCTTCTTCCCCCTCACTCTCTTCCTAGCCAAACAGCTGTGTCGCTTCATCACCCGAGCTGGGTGGCGCGTGGAGCACAATTGTCAATGGAAGGCTTGAAGGTCTCGAAAGCGAATTTAACTGTATACATTCACCCTTCAAGAGCAATCAGGTTTCCCAAGCTGTCTCGTGAACTCAGCTCCTTGCTTTTTCACGTACGCTTCCAAACCCTAACAAAACGTCATAATCCTTGTCGTCGTTTTGTCTTTAACTTCTCCTATTCCAGGTTCAGCGAAATCGTCGACGGCGTCGTTCTGGCTTACGATTGTCAACTCGCTCGACACATGCGCTAAGATCCTCTCGGCGTTCACCCTTACTTCGGCGTCAAACTAAGGTCAATTTTTTGCTCTTTTCTCCCAAGCCCAAACACGGCTTTTAGGTATTTTTTTCTTTTCTACCATCTTTTTTTTTTTAAATTTAAGGAATAAATTAATGAAAAATCAATGCCTCGCGTGAACTGGTAGGATTTGTTTTGGTGGTTTCAGAAGGGAAGGTGGTTAAGCTTACGGAGGATTCCATTTCACGTTGTTGTGCTGGCTTTTCCGCTGCGGTTATAGCAGAGAAAGACATCAGGGAAGAGTTTGTGTGGAAAATGGTGAGTCTGGTTTGGTTCTTGGTTTCAACTTGTTTGAGTGATTAATTATCTGATCACTCTTGCTGATATGGTTTGTGTGGTTCGGATATTGTAGATTAATGAAGGATTATTTAGTGTTTCTGATGTGGTTTAGTGATTAATCAATTAGAGGTGTGTTGATATGGTTTAGCGATCAATTAAATGTGTGTTTGGGTGCATGTTAATTCAATGTTTAATTATTCATCTACCTTCCGTACTCACACTATCTTTATTTATTTAGTCTCTCTATATACACAAAAGCTACTAGCAGTAGTCTCTGAATGCCATTTTTTAATTCATTGTAGTCTTTACACACATATTTGTCCCTATGGTTGTGGATGACAGGGACCGAAACAAGTAGTTTTAGGTTTCGGGACTAAAACGCAAAGCATAACAGTGGGTTCAGGAACATACTACGTAATTAAAGTTTTATTCATCATTGATGTGGATCAAGTGAAGCTAGAATAACTACCTTTTGTGTGGTTTTCGTTCAAATTTGACGCTGGACTATTGGAATGTGTAATTTTGAAAATTGAATCCGGACATTCTTTATTGTGGCAATGATGAATTTATTAGTTCTATTTGTTTTAGTGATTAATCAATGGTGCTGATACGGTTTATGTGATTCCTCTTCCTCTTTGTAGAAAAAAGGGCATGAGGTGTACGCAAGCAGGTCTAACAAGCGACATGTGATAAAGGTCGGGACCATGATACGGTTTTTAGTCAAGAGGTGACATACTGTTAATTTGCCTGGTGTAAGACTAATGTGTAGATCGTAAGTATCTCTTTGGAATTGAGTGTGGATTTCAAATCTTAGTGAACATTTGTATCAAAAATAGTATACCTATCCGAGTTGAATACAATGAAGACATGCCAAAACTGTGCCGGAAACGTGTCTCTCGCTTGTTGGGGTTACTGCAATGAAGAAACAATTCATATTTGCAGACTATATAGGTAGTAATTAGGTAATAGTCATAAGTTTGCACGACTGTTTATAATTGTATGATTTACTGTATCTGAATTTATCAGAAACTCCACAGTTTTGACATATTCATTGTATGAGATTATGTATTTTGGTTTTTGTTTTTGTTGAATGGATTAAAGTGGGCATTGATAGCATCTTATGCATATGCGTGGGTATCATATAATTGTTCCATGTTGAAGTCTTTGCTATTGTTTTTAGGACATGTATTTCCGTATTTGGTTGTTTCTACAGTAGTGCAGATAATAGGAGTACTGTGAATATTTTGTTCACAGTAATGAATTTGTTAGAGACCAGATACTGATAACCTCCTGATGATGAAATTTGTATGAATTGATGGTAATAACTGTGAGTTGAACATTTCATCACATGATAAATTTCAATGATTTATCCTTTTGCAGTTTTGATGAAGAAATACTTCATGTTTATGGATCTCTAATTCCTGATCACACAGGCAGCATTCATTGGTTGGACAAGAACTTAGAAGTTGTTTCCCATGCTGACAGTTTTTCTTTAATAATGTATTTGTCCAGTCAAAACAATACTTTAAGATTATACTTTCATAGCTGTCTTAAAATATGCAGGAGTGAAAAGAAGAAAAGAATTCAGCCAGAACGAATAATGCTTGAACAAGATGCTGTGGACGGGGAACTGTCAACCTTGGACATTGTCGAAAAGAGAACAAGTGCAAAAAGGCAAAAATACTTGGAGGAATCTTGAATGTAGAATTGGAATCTTATGTTGAGTGCATTTTATCCACAGGTAAATTTTCATTTTTTAATTGTGGATTATATATTAAGTGTCTAATGCCAAGAAATTTTATGTGAGATGTCAAAGTGAGTCAATTTAGTTTACATGGGTGAGGTCTCCACAGGTGAGCTAAAGATGGGCTTGCTCAGCCCTACTCACTCGCGTGGGTTGACTCACTGAATTTAAAAGAATATGAAAATGATGTTTTTTTATTAATTGTCTTCTATGTATATATGTCTGTGTATAATAACATTGAATATTTAAATAGCTAACCAATATTAAGAGTTCTAATACTTTGAAATTGTAATTATTTTTTATCATGAAAACAGGTCAACCCACTTGTAACCTGGCTCAAACCTGTTGACTCATGTTAAATGAGGCGAGTTAATTTTGATCCGTAATTTAAAACTCTTCAATTTTCCAACTCTCAACGTAGTTCAAACCCATGCTGAGCTTGGTTAACTCAATGATTGCAATTCATTCTGACACCTTTAATTTTATGGTTTATGTTCTGATGAACGTGTTCCTGCATTAAGTTTTGTACTATTTAAGTTTTTATTTTGTAGTACGGCTATACTTAAAAGTAGAGAGCCATGTTATGTTGAACAAATGCCAGACTCCAGTGTGCTCATTATGACACATTACACTTCTCACCTCCTTTGGAAAGCTGCCCATTCTTTTAACGTCTGAAATAGCAAACATTCTGGAAGATAACGAAAGAGAAGCTAAAATTTATATTTGATCTCAGCAAATTATAAGGCTGTAGTGACACCATTGAAGTTGCGAGCATCCGGCTCCAACCAACTGTACCCAAGGGCGCAAACATCTTTACTTTTACCAAGCCTTTAATTTTTTCCTAGAAAAATGTCATTTACTGTGTTTTTTCCATGGAGAATTTTTTTAAAAAATGACTTCAAACTCTTAAAGCTAACATGCTTGAATCAATTTAAAGCTTAATACAAAATTCCAGTCATCTAATGCAAAAAATAGTTTGCATATTTTTATCAACTCAGTCTGAATAAGAGATCGGATATAGGTATTGATGAGTCACTTTCAAATCTCTTCTTTAATACTTAAATACATGAAAATAAACAGATCACGGGAAGATATAGTGCAGGGATGACATATTGCATTTCCCTACTTTGGAAGTGTATAAAGAGAAAAGTAAAGGGAAAATCAAATATTGAATTCCTTAAATGAACTTGAAATTTGTCTTAGGGGAGGATACGACAATTTTCCTTTATATATTATATTTTTAGTGTTTCAGATTGATTTATGTTTTTATTTTTGTTCTCTTGAGGCCTAAAGGAGATCATTTGTCATTTTATTGGAAATGTAAACTATGTTTCTCCGTATGTCTGCTTTAATGTTGTAACATTGAATATTTTTTTAGCCTTAGTAAAATAATTCAATGTTAAATATAATTTATGCCACACGAGGATGTTGCGCTTTCCTTAGCAGTTCTCTACTTTGTTCATTTTAGAACACCGCTTTGTTGTTCCATTTGCGTTGACCTATTGAAACATTGGTTTGTGGAGTTTCAGCTCAGTATTTTTTACGTTAGTGTTGGCTGCATCTGAATCATAGCTTGGGAACAAGGTTTTATAATTTTGTATAAATATCTAATATCTAATATCTATATTTCACTCAATAGATGACTTTAGATTTCCCGTGTTTATTGTTTGTGCAACTTTATCTAATATCTACTTTCTTCTCAGGACTATACTCGTGTGATTGGCATTGCACAATAGCTAAATGTATGAATGCAAGTGTTTGGACCTATCATCTGATGTGAAATGTGTTTCATTCTTTTTTCAGGACTGGTAACGCAAATTGGCGTCTTAATTACATTGGGATGCTTCAGCATTTAGACTTCTGAAAGGATTCCCGAAGTTTCCTTGGACATAGGTGCACTTGTTTCATTTAGGTCATAATTTTTGAAGATTCTGATGATAATTTACTGTATGATTAAGAAGTCAAAGGAAGTTTTGCAGTATTTTTCTATTGGTAACATAGCTTATTAATTGAATCCTATAGGAAGTGGGACCTATCCATGTATATCACCGAGTCTCGTAATTAGATAGGATGGCATGAATTACGTGGGAAGAAAGGTTGAATGTTTTTTCTTGGTTTGATCACATCAATATTATATGCTGAAATTATCCTAAGCTTTTTTTCTACTGGTTTGTAAATTACCATGTTCTCTACTAGCACAATTCTTCATAGTCTTTTACTTCTACTGCAAATATGATTGCTAATTGTTTTTTTAAACCAACAAATTATAAGTGGTCGAGGAAACTCTGAAATGGATTAGTATTTTAAGACAAAGGATTTATGAGAAAGTTTATGGTCCCGAGTCCTGAATCAACGACTTTCTTTTTCTTTTCCTATTTTTATTTTTGCGTGTCCAAACAATGTTCCCTTCCACCTACTGCGAACTTTCAATTTTCTTGTTTCTACTCTTTTTTCATCTGCCGTGTGAAATGAAAATTAAACAATACTACGAACAATTATTTGAGTGAGCTTTACCTTTTGAGGAAGAAGTTTTCTTTATTCAGTCATGAAAAAAGCATCGTCGATTACTGCTTTAGTGGTCTCCGTTTACTCTCTCTTTGGTTAAAAAGTAATCTAACAATGAAATCGTTTTCTCTTATTAATCACAAAAGAATCTGTTAATATGAATATTATAAAACTGATTACATGTACAATAATGTTAATGGGGATACATAATTTTTAAATGAGTAGTACTATTATCAATTCCGTATCTTTGAATCGTGTTCTTTATTGAAATGAAAACCAGCCTGCAGCTACATAGATTTGACTATGGTTATTTGGTCATGTAACTATTTTTAAATAATATTGATTTAAAAAGGTTATGAAATTAGCACTGTAATAATCTATGAAGTTAGATTTGACAGATAAAACGTGTTTGTGGAATACCTGTTAATATTTGAATTTGATTTGTAAAATAATCATGTCTAAGCTTTTTATTGTCTTAATGTCTTCGTCCTTATTGGGCTAACCATCTTTTACGTTTCTTCTTGCACTTTCATATTTTATATAAAAAGAATTTTCATTTTTCTTAAATTGTGTAATCTGAAAGATAAAGAAAAAATTAAAATATTTTCGGATCTCATATAGCATAATTTCAAAATTATTTGATTTTCAGATTGCATGAGCAGTATGAAAGTTATTTGATTTTCGTTCTGCATAATCTAAAAATTATTTTTAGCTATTAAAGTGTATAATTTAGATGTTATTTTTTTATTCAGATAATAACTTTGAAAAAAAGTAAAGTTTATTTTTTTTGGTAATGGTAGACAAAAACCTAATTTTTTATTCAATAACTGTCCAACATAAACAAAATAATATTTTTATTTTAAAATATAAAGTAATTTAGAATGAATGAACTAAAAAAAGTGTGAAATAAGGTAAAATATTTAAAATGTGCACATGAAAGTTGGTTTTTATATAGAGGAAGAAACTGCTTTGTTGTGTCTAAATGCATGTCGTTGTGAGGAATAATGTGAAAACCCAACACAATGGAGAAGTCAAATAACTTTTGAGTAAGTTAAGATAATCGGTTTGAAAATTGGCATGGTGCCTCAGAGTTCTATGATGCCCTTTTTCCTTTCTATGGATAAACTTAATTAAACATTTATTAAATACTTTTCCTACATTTATTAAAAATTATAAGACTAATAAATTGTTATAAATGTAATTGGGTTTAGGAAAAATTCTTCTAAACAAACTCAAACTAAAAACCCTAAATTGTGCTTGTCGAACTCCCGATCCCACACGTCTCTCTATCAATGGTAAGCGATAATTTAACATTATCTAAAATAATGCTCTTAACTTCAAATCAGAGATAGATATGACATAATCAATCTTTACAAAAAGTAACAAAATGCCAAATTTTCAACAAAAAGTTTAAGTCAGAAAAAGTTGTCAAATCAAAATTAATGCAAATATATAGAATATGAATACATATTTACATTACATTAAATTCATACTTCAACATTTGATTGATACTTTTGAACATGGAGATTCATCTTCAAAAGCTACAAATTTTTCTTGCCTAAAACACCAAAAATTATAATTATTAAAAGAGTATAACTTAGCTCAATAATAACTTATTATTTTTTCAAAAGAGGATTTTTTTATTTTTGGAAGAAAAGAAATTAAAAACAAAAATATATCTTAACTCACTAGTTCCAAATGTAAAAATATTTTGTCACCCCTTAATGTAAAATTGATATTTTAAATTCTAAAATTTAAACATACTTTTTTAGTTTTCCTTATCGCAAATTATTTTTTTGGTTCACAAAATTAAAAATAATTATTTTATGTTTTCCAATTTTGAAATGATTTATTTTTTTAAAGTTGACATTGTTAAAAAATATGTTGGCCAACTAGCACATTTATAAGGGACTAAATATATTAGTTTTAAAATTTAAGTGAGTAAAATAAATTTTGACTTAAATCTGAAGATTAGAAATATATTTTAGTAATTAAATTAAAAAAATACGTCATTATTTTATGATTAACGTAGCCAAAATTTATCGTGTTAGCTATCATTAAGACAACAACAATATTAAGGAGCTAAAAATAGCATTTATGAACGAGGAGAACTAAACATAATTTTTAATTTTGTGAATAAAAAGAAAAAAGAAGACCCAATTTTGAAAGACTTACAATAATTTATGTATACATAACATATTATAGGATTTTAATGTTAATAAAAAATATAATTGAAATATCCTCAAAATATATTTTAACAATACATAATATCGTTAAAACATATCTAATTCTTATTTACTTTTATATATTATTTAGCTAATAATTCTTTTACATTTATAATTTAATGAGTTAGTTTGACAGTTTAAGCTATTAAATAATTTTTCAGTAGTAAAAAATAAAGGAAAAAAAAATATTTAACACTTTCGAAAATAGCTTCTGATTAAAGCTTTTAAAAACTGGCTTATAAGCCAAATTTGGTATTCTAGTTTAATACGCCTCTCCAACACTTTTTTAAATGATTGGTTCCATAAAGTTTTTGAAAAAAAGTAAAAGAAAAATTTGAATTCCACTTTTTTTCTTTTGCTTTTAATTAATTATTTCGTACCTAACTTTACGTCTAGTTTTTGCAATATCTAATTCATTGGTGTTACAAAAATAATAAGAATTAAATAAATAATAATTTTGAAAATTAAAATTAAAACAAAAACATTAATTTTACAAAACAAAAAGCATATTTAAACATTAAGAAAACCAATACTATCACTAAATTTTCTTGAAGGTATTAGTTAAGGAATTAAGAGTTATTATTTTTACCTAGTGCTTAAAATGTCCTATCCTATGATTTTTTTAATAAAAATATTCTCATAATTTCTTAACGAATGTGCTAACAATATTACTTTCAGACTGACCTTACACTGATGATACATACTTTTATATTTGTTTTATAATTTTTTCCATTTTTGAAATATCATCGTTTCAATTTTAATTAATGAAATTAACTATCTAAAATACTCTTTAAGACAAAACCGCGTTCCACTTATAGAACTCAAAACAATAATTCTTTAATAATTGATACAAAAATATTTAAAATATTTTAATAAGAAAATAAGTCCAGAATGAGAAGAAATGAAAATATATTTGAATCCTAATACACGTCAATTGTTATCATACATATTTATTACTAGAATAAATAGTCTCTTCACTGAAATATTACAATAAAAAATTAATCTAAATATAAAAACTTTATTTTTTTTGAATTATAATAATTTAAGATAATTGAATATATATTTCAATTTTAATAATTATCACCTCCCTGTATTTATTAAAGAGGTAATTTAACTTTTATTCTTTATTTTGTAGATTTAATATAATCCTATTTTCTTCAAGATTAATTGTATATTTCGTATTAATATTACTTTCTGATAATTATTAAAAACCACTAAATACATATTTAATTAATTCAATAATCAATAAAATTCAACATTTTCGTACTAAAAGTTTAATCTTATTTAAAAACAAAATATGAATACTTATCACGCCTGTTTACCTTATCATTAAAATAAAAAATTAATTTTATTATATTTATATATTCGCAGTCTCTTTCATTTTATTTTTGCCTTATGTTTTTTATATATATACCATGCATAAAATCTATAGATATATTTTCCCAATTTTTGATTAGATAAAATTGAAAAAAAATATCATAAAGTTTTGTCACTGAATATTTTTTTGCCCTTCATTCTCAGCAAAAAGCGAAATAGTCAAAGAAAGAAACTCGTTAAGTCTTCGTCTTCATCAATAGTCTACACCTCTCTGAACTTGTACCCCAAAAAAAAAAACTTAGCGTGTTATTCGTTTGACTCGTGAATATCTTCTCTTTCGTGTTCTCATCACAGTTCCTGAAACGCATTCTCACTCTCTTCTTTCCCATCATCACTATATACCGATTCTCTCTCTACATAATTCTTGGTCTAGTCTTCCTTTTGTTCTGTTCCATGTGCCTTGCCCTTTCCTTTGGGCAAAGTGATTATTCCCTGCTATTTCTGAGTTGACTTGTTCAATATCCCAGGTGGGTATTTCAGTGCTCCTGGGCAAAATTCACGTGATTTCTGAATCTGGGTTCCTTCTATTTATGTTTGTGTTGATTTGTGTCAAAAGGGATTTTTTAAAAATGTATTTTTTATGTAAGTTCAGTGGGTTTTGGCGAAGACTGTGAATTTTGTTCTTAAAGGGGGGTGGGGAATAGTTTCCCTTTTTTCCTCTCTCTTTTTTTTTTCTATTCGTGGGTTGGTTGATTTGGTCGGTGTGAATTGTGGACTGCTGAATTGAGTTCATGGTGTTTGTTTTATTGTGTTTCAGGGCATGTATGTGCACTTGTGAGGATTCAAGTGCTATGGCGTGTATAAATTTTACGCTACAGCTTCATTAGTTACCAATTTTGGTGAATTATCTCAATACCTTGTTCTTGGATTTTTGGTAAAGATGGTTGAGGGTAGCCAAGTTTTCAGTTCTCATGTTATTGTTAGTTTCTTTTTGCTGGTTTTCTGTGGCATGGTTTGTGGGACTGATAGTGATATATCCTGCTTGAGAAGTGTAAAGGCAGCATTTGAGGACCCTTTCAAGTATTTGCAATCCTGGGATTTCAGCAACAGAACAGA